GCCCTGTTCAGGCCACCCCTTCTCCTGGGGGCAACATGACTGTGATACCACATGGTGAACCTGTAGCACTGGCAATCTCCTCTGATGATCAGCTAAAAATATTCAGAGATGTAACTGAATTCCAAGAAACAGTTAAAAAAAAAAAAATCTATTGAAAACCCAGAGACTGTGAGAAGATAGAAGAGGTAAAGTTTAAATTTCATGCCTAATCTCTTTTACTGTTCAGGTTTCCAAGGTCAGGATTTTTTGAGTTTATTTCTTTCTGGGATAGGAATGTCTAACCACACTCAGAACACCATGCATTCTTAAACTTTTATGGCCTCAAATTTGACTGAAGAAGGCAGATATTTTTTATTTATTGTTTTTTAAATCTGAAGACTTAATGCAGATTACAATGTCATGGTAAGACAATACTGTGGTATTTGTCATACTTTTGTATGACATCAAGGAATAACAGAGGTTGAGACAAATATTTTAGATGTGACTTTTTCCTAATGGTGTTTTTCATTGGATTCATAACAAATCCTGCTACAAATATATTTATCATACCAACTGAAACAGTCAAACTATTGCCGACAGAATATAAAAAGATACGAAATTTTAGGAATAGGAATCTATTCTTGTTACTGATCAAGGCTGGAGGCTGCTTATCAGACTGGCTTTACAAGAAACAAAACCATATAAATCCACAGACATTCATTCCTGTCCACAAAATACAAAACTCCAGGAGAATGGAAAATTAGAATAAACATTCTTTACTCAGTGTGTATATATCTATACAAACACATGCATATATGTAGCTAAGCAACAATTTAAGCAGTGAAGATTAACAGATATGCTACATTAGTCCTGAATGTTGATCTTCTAAAAACTACAGTTTATTTCTTCTGAAAGCCTTTAAAGGCTTTTAAAAGATGTATCCTGACCTCTGCTGCACTGTTGCCTGGATGGAAGAGGATGCATAGCAGATCAAGATTCATGTCAGATATACGGCATTCTCTCTTCCCTAGGACAATATTAAGAAATAAGCCACTGAGACAGTATGTCATTCTTCAATGATAAAGAGCTATTAGATCATGCTTCATTCAGATGAGAAGGCATATTACAGCGTATTTCTTGCTGTATTCATCAGTAAGAAGGGACAATTACTCACCAAATATTTTTTGGAATCCATTCTCTGAATTTCCCAGCAAATGTATTGTTCCATAAGTTAGTAATGTCCTATACCTACAGTCATTTCTCTTACTGAAAGATTTGGGGATAGCATTGAAATGAATCTCAATTGTTTTCCTCCTGCTTTTTGTCTTTCTTTTGGGCTGGGGCAGACAAATAAAAATGAGTCAGGGGCAAATAAAAATATTCAATAAACATGCCCATCATTCTGTTTGATGAAACGGAAAACAATGGATAGATGAACAAACTTCCCCAGCTATTACGTGAGGCTGGGAGCACTGCATTCTTCAGTGTCACTGGTCTGTCACTTTGGGGAGTACATTTCCACATAAATCAAATGTTAACCAGACAGGGTAAAACTGTTCTCACTGTTACAAAGGAGGCAGCTGGCCAGCTCAAAAGGACTAAAACTCTGTTCCTCTGGGACATATGGAAATGGTCATTACAAGACAATATTTATTTATAAACACACTTGGCCCCATCAACTGGGCTTGAATATATAGAGGAATGGAGCTTATTAGTAAGATAAAGCTTTCCCATGACCTATAGAGGACACTGCATAGGGACCACAGATGTTCCGTATTAGAAAAGCTGGAAAATTTATGTCAATGGCCATGAAAAGCTCAGTTTGAAAATAAGTAAATAAATAAATAAGGAGGTCACCAGCAAAGACAAGGTTAAGGACACTGGAAAATGAATCTTCCAGGATATTTAACCTTTATTTATTTATTTAAGTGGAGCCAATCCTGGCCTTGACTACACATGTCTCTCCTGAGGAACTCTGCTGAAGTCACCAGATTGCTGAAGTCCATTTGATTTGCAGAGCACAACATCTGTGGTGACTGTGTTTGTCATGCGGGTGAACATACACACACACACTGATTTGCCTTTGCAATGGGATTCACATAAGTAATGAAAAGAGCCAGGGAAGAACAGTACTTCAGAAGACAATCCATACCACCTTCTATATGCAAGTACAGAGAACTGTATCCATCAGTTAAGCACATAAGGACTCAGCTTCTGCTGTACATGTTAGGTAATGGAGCAAACAACATGTAACACAAAATCTGTAGCCTACTCTCAAAATTGAAGGCCAGAAAAAGCTAAATGAAAATGTCACAAGAGGTAATTAAATTCTTATTTAACAGGGACTAGTTATTCAGAATGTGAAATCTAGACTGTCTAAGCCAAGGATCACCTCTTTACACCAGCTCTAAATCTGGCCCTGACTAAATGTGAACTGTATCATGTCCTGTGTGGGCCTGAAGCCTTGAAAAAAAGGTTTTGTGTATCTATGACTTAAGTCTGATGTCGTTTGCACAGCTGCAGATTCACTGTACACCTTTGGTCTGGCTCACAGCCTCCTTCTGCCACTCAGCTGCTTCTTCCTTCACCATGTCATGGAGCAAACAGTCCGGCATTTCCTCACCTATCCATGTGGCATGAGACCTTTCTATCACACACTAGCTCCTTGGTCAGTCTTGGGCCTCCTGTTGTCTAGAGGGTGCTGGTTAGCTGCCTTCTAGCAGAGCCCTCTGAGAGACAGTCAGCGTGGACTACTGGCTTTTCCAACTATCTAAAGGGCCTTCCTGCATCCAGGTGTGCCAGGCCAGGCACTGATGTGGCAGAACCAGGAAAAAAAATAATGAAGTTTTGTTGTTGTTATTGTTGTTTTGCTTTGTTTTGCTTTTCTATCTAGGACTGAAAAAAAGTCACATTAACTGAGAGGAACAGGAGTGAGGCCACAAAATGCCTGAGGTCCTAAGAAATGTTCCCTACCACAGTTTTGCAATAAAAATGCTACAGCAGTCCTGTGCCTGAGAGCACCACAGGTGTGGCACCAGGTGATCCCAATCAGGTAACAGAAGGCTAATTTTTTCTAAACCATTGTGATGCTACAGGAGGTTTCCAGCTTTTCATGACTTCAGAAGGCCAGGTAAGCATTCCTACAACTACAGAAGTACAGCTGCACCTGTTTGTCTCAGTTTGTCTCGCTTTATATGTTTACACAGGCATCTGGTCTCACTGATACCCTCACCTTTTAGTTCACTATGGTCTGGAGCTACCCAGCTTTCTGCCAGGCACAGAAAAGGGAACGCTTCTTCAGCTAGCCACCTACAGAGGCATGGGCCCAGAACAACATGCTCCCCTTTTGCTTTGTTTTTTTTGTTTTGTTTTTTTTTTTTTTTTGTTTTTTTTTTTTTTTGTTTTTTTTTTTTTTAAGAGTAGTTAAGAAACAAAACGGTTGAAGTATGTACAACTCTCTAGCTTATAAGAATGGAGACACTTTCCACTACTTTTCAGCATCAAGGAGAAAGATTTCATCTGGAATATATTAGTATCTGTAATATGGTCTTTGTTGGATATCACGTTTGGTTCACTCTTTGATTCTTTGAATCTGCATAGGGATTTTTACGAGTGAAAGTAAATCAGGATCTTTTATTACTTCCAATAAGAATATAAGAAAGAAAGAAAATGATCAGCAGTCTTATAGCACTTTACACCTGAGGATTACCATGTGTGTCTGAAACAGAAACTGAATGTTTCTGTAAACAAATGATACTTTCATCAGTCCTTTGACTCTCCTTTGCTATCCTTCCTCCCCTCAAATTTATTTGGCATTTTTTCACTGGTTAACAGAAACAGAACACTTAAAGTGTATCATGGCCCTCTCAAAATCCTTCAGTATAAGGCTACAGAATCACAGAAGGCACCTCTGATCCAAACCAACCCCCTTTTTAAGGCAGGGTTAACTACAACAGGTCTTTCAAAGCCAATTCCAACTGTATTTTCACTTACACTTGTTAGAGCCTGTTTGAGCCTGAGCTATATTTCATCAGCTTGTCTATGAGGATATTATGGGAGACTGTCAAATCCTTTGCTGAAGTCAAGATAAATAAGATCCACCGATCTTCCCTCAACTATCAAGATGATCATTTCATCACAAAAGGTTATCTAGTTCATCAGACATGATTTCCCCATCATAAATCCATGTTGACTAGTACTAATCACCTCCTTGTTCTTATTATGTTTGGAACTGTTTTCCAGGATTAGTTGCTTCATCACCTCCCCAGGGATCAAGGTGAGATGGGCTGGCCTGTAGTTTCTTTGTTGTCTTTCCTGAAGATAGTGGTGACATTTGTCTTCCAGACCTCAAGAACCTCCCCCATACACAAATCTTGACATTACATTTCAAAGATGGGCAAGAGTGGTCTTGAAATAACATTGGCTAGCTTCCCCAGCTCTCGTGGGAGAAACCCATTAGGTCCCGTGAACTTCTGTACATCCAGTTTGTTTAAATGCATTTCTCCTTAGGGAAGGAACATAATGACAATTACCCATTTGCTTTCATTGTTTTTGTTATTATTATTATCCTCACTATTTTACTTCTAGCAACACTGGTGCTGAATTTGTCATCCCACAGTTTGCAAGTTTTTAGTTCCACCCATCATCCCATCAATGGAAAGAGAAGTTAAAGACTTCAGTTCTTCCTCACTGCAGTCTTCACTCACTGTTTCATACCTTAAGGTACTCTAGTTTCTAGAACAAGAAGAGCAAGAAATTGAAAAGTTTTTTGGCTTTTATTTGTAACAAGAGCCCTGAGACTGCCTGTATGTGTGCAGTATTTACTCTCGCTCTCCTTGAAATGACCAGCTATGTTTCTACCACAAGCACTTCCTCTTTTGATCTGAACCTCTCCAGTTCTCACAGAGGCTATTCTGTGTAGAATTAGAGACTGATTCATTCCAAGTAGTCTATGCTCAGAGCTGTTCCTCATCTTCCCATGCAAGATTCTGAGTAACCCACATAGGGAAAAATACCACCACAATACAACTTTTCTTTCCAAATCCTCTTCCGTCCCTGGATACCACAAGAACACATTTCAGCTGCAGTAGGGACAAAGATATTTATTTTGATTTATGGTTTTCTATCTGCTTCCCCTTAGCCACAAGATGCTGATCTCCAAGCAGACACGTCATCTCTGCATATCTCTGCTCCCCAGCCAGACAGTGACCTATTTCAGAAGTCAAACTGAGATCAAATGTTACTTTCTGGTTCATGGGTTCAAAAAAAAAATGAATCACAAGAGGACTAGAGGAAAGACATGTTCATCCTGCACACTGCTGTGTCCACAGTGAGTACGGTTGGTTCCTTTCCCACACATCTTTATTGTTTATTTGTTTTTTTGTGTGTGTGTGTTTTTTTTTTTGTGTGTGTGTGTTTTTTTGTTTGTTTGTTTGTTTTGTTTTTTTTTGATTAAGCTAGCATGCATTTCAACAGATGGATCCTTGAGAGTTTTAAAACATACTGAGGAGCAGGCTAACCCATTAATGAGAAAATAGTACTGAGAGAAAGAAGAATTGTAACCTGGCGGATGCTGAGCTTGTTTTTCTCCTAGTGGCTCCATGTATTCAAGGAAGTGCTGAGATAATAGTGTGTGGGAAGATTTTTCAAAGCACACAAATGACAACATCAGTGTGAAGGGTTGGGTTAAAAAAAAATTACCTTTAGGTTGAAAAAGAAAAAGGAAATGGAAAAGAAAATGAAAAGGAAAAAGAAAGGGAAAAGGGAAAAAGAAAAGGGAAAAGGAAAAAGGAAAATAAAAGAAGAAAAAAGAGACAAAAATCCCCAGCCAATAGTCCTTATATCAGGAAATTAAAGCTGGATCTATTGACCATGCACAAGCCAGTTATACTGTTGGATCTGAGTCCCAGAGTACGTTTCTTAAAGGTGTCTCATGGTCAGACTGAGTCTCTTAAATCAAGGTAATGAAATAACACAGCATTAGAGCTTCCCTGTATTTAAAGGTATTTAGACTTGAACTCTATAAATTCAGCTTCTTGCCACATCTCCCTTTCTCTTTCTGGTTGCCCAATAAAGCTTCAAGTCTTTTATGGGTTTTGCTGTGTACCACATGTATGAAGAAAAATGATTCACTGCACTCTAAAGCTACTGGCTGAAGTGATCAAGCTGTAAATTTGGCTTAGTTCAATATGTCATCAAAGTATGAAATTAAATAAATTTTCTGTTTCTTTTTAAGATGCTTATAGAAATAATGCAGAACTTTGCCTTAACAAGGACAGTTTAAATGCAACATGCCTGTAGTTTGCTGTTTGGATCACTTGTCATTCTAAACCAGGTCCTCCAGTTACTTTGTTTTAGATGAAAAGCAGAGAACTTTTAAAAAATGGGTGAAAAGAAGGAAGAATCAGGATGAGAATAAAGCAACTTCTTAGTATCTGCCCTAAGCTTGATCAGTGAAAATCTGGGTTATTTTTTATGACTATCCACATTCCTGGTACAGGAGGTATGAAGTCACTTGGTAATAGGGGCTCAATCTGATTCCAACAGAAATAAAATGAGAGGAATGATTTCTCATATGTATTGCCCTAGAAATAGCCAACACCATGTGAAAGGTTCTACTTTGTTATGAAACACTGCACTAGCACAATCATTTGGCCACAGTTTGTTTAAAGAGCTGTGCAGACGGAGAACTTAAAAAAAAACATGGCTTTACATCTATTTGGGATGGAGGGACAGTTTTTTCCAAACAACGAAAAAGATAACGTTGCTAAGTGCAGTTTCAAAAATTGACTTGCTTTTTAAATACATCCAGGTTAAGAAAGAAAGAGAGAGAGAAAGAGTGAAAGAGAGAGCAAAAGAAAGAGAGAAAGAGAAAAAAAAAAGAGAGAGAAAGAGAGATAGAAGGAAGGAAGGAAAAAAGAGAGAGAAAGAAAGAAAGAGAAAGAGAGAGTAAGGAAGGAAGGTTTAATAATTTAGAAACCAACAGTAGTCACAAGCTAATATTTCAAAAGCAATTCATGTGCCAACTTCATTTCATATACACACACAAATGTAGTATTATTACAGGATGTACCGAGTTACAGGAGTGTCTCTGAAAATGGGATCTGCTGAGTACGTGGTGGATGGGGCCAAGGGAGGAGGCACTCTGAGCTGTCCTGACGGACCAGCTCTTGTATGTCCTATAATCCCAGGAAAACAGAAGTTGGAGGGGGAAAAAACACTCAGTCAAAACCGATGGCATTGGTGGGACAGATATTCGTGGACAGTCTGCAATGGAGCAGCCCAGGGTAGGAGAGAAACTTGCTTAAAGAAATGATCATTCAGCCTGATAATGAGAGGTTGTTGTGGCATGTTTCAACTGCCTCATTCATATCCTATAAAAAGGACTAAGACTGCATAGCCGAGTCGATTTCTTCTGCCTTGTAAATGCAGATTTCCTTATGAAGAAAAAAACCCTCAGTTTATCCTAAACTGTGCAAGGGCACAGTATCTGCACGTCTCATAGACACAGGGTGCTGAGCTGGTTCAACTGGCAAGCCATACACAATGTAAGAGTCTGTTATCCATGCCTCCTGCACCAAATAAAACCCAGCACAGCTTGATGTGGGGCTTCGAGAATATTTTCACATTGCTCAAGTCGTGTTCCACAATGAAAAAAGACTGGAAAGTCTATTCTTCTGGTTGAGAAGCAGAAAACATAACAGAGGATCTGTTAAACATAACTCCTTATAAAAGCTTAGAGTTTAGAATAAAGTATGCAAAATTTCACTCAATCAGAAAGGCATTATCTCTACCATTTCACAAAACAGCTATTTTGTTACATACATCAAACAAAAATAAGGACATAAAAAGAGACTTCTTGACATGATCAGAGTTTGTAATAATAATCTAGATTATTGGTATCTTTGAGAGATGAGATTCCAAAGAGAAACATGCTCTGAGCTGCTGAACTAGTGACACCTCCTTTTATACAGATTTTCTATTTTCAGTTGTCTAGCTTTGGTTCCCAATGATGTAAAAATTCCAAGTGATATTGCGCATAACTGAGCATTTATTTATAAAGACACTCTCTTACACAGATTCTCTAATGACTAATAAGATGTAGTTTTACACTACAAGCTTTTCTCTCTCTTCTACTTCCACATTCATTGTGGTTGATGGTAGCCAAAGTATTTAAAGATTACTAACGAGAGAGGAGGAACACATAAACACATTGGGTGCATACACTTTGTTTCCAAGTGTAACATAATTTCAGGGCATGAAGAACAATAAAATTTGGACTATATTAGGGTCTGGGAAGAATGGCAATATAAACGATAACAATCGGTCTTATCTTTGCAAAGATCCAGTTGTCTTGGTCTAAGGTAACACAAAAAAAAAAAAAAGTACAAGCTACAAGTAATAGATACAATATACCTAGGAAGAGGTGAATGTGTCAGACCATAGTAAGGCAGAGGGTTTCTTTAGCCTGTTTCCCCAAGCCTAGAAAGAAAGAATACGGATAGTGACAAGGTGGATGAATGTTTGAACCTAATCCCCCTGCCTGTGTCTCCAGTATACAAGCGTGAATACCATGGCTATTGAGGCAGTTTTCTTCTGCAGGTAATCACATTCAAGCATCCATCTCAGTTTTATTTCTCAATTGAATGTGTGTTTCTTTAATGGTAACTGTTGTCCTGACTCTCTCTGTCAGATTAAGGATCACTTTAATGTAATGTTTGGCTATTTTTCTCTAGGAAGTTACTTGTACATGTTGTAAAGTCACACACCAATTAAATGAACAGATTAAGTTTTCTTTAGGGTTCCCATTTTTTTAGCACTGCATCAGCTTCGGTGTCATTTGTTTAATTTACCCCAATTTTTCAGCTTTCTTTTTAAAGGGCAAACAGTACAAATCTCTTATTCCCATGCTGGGCTCCCAACTGTCACATATCAATACAATCATCTCACTGCTACTTACTGTACCCATACTCACACACCTATGGGTAATGATTGCCCTTTTACCATGGTATCAAATGGCATTCAGGCTTGGTCCCAACTCACCTCAGGGTTTGGTAAGGGCTTGCATTGTCTCTTCAATCTGCTTTTCTGTTTATTCTTTTATGACATAAATTTTGGTGTAGCTTTAGCATTCACGAGTTTTGAGTAAGACACAAGGATGCCATGTAAGAATATAAGGGCAGACACAGTTGGAAAGACCAAATGTTCCCCTTACATGGCATAGTCTCTTGAGGTTAGTTATTAAATGTGATAGCTCCTCTTAATGGCTTAATATGGCAGTTGCTCACTATGATGACTCGCAATTTAATGGCTTTATTCAGCTAGAAGATGGATCCATACTCTTTGCATATTTATTACCCAGTAGTACACTGGCCGTTTTCCACAGAAATTCCCCAAAGTGGCCAATAAAGCATTACAAGAGCAGATGGTGGCACCCTCCCCCAGGAACCTCTCCCAGCATCTGCATTATGCTGCCAACAGCATTCTGAGGCAGAGCTATGGTCTCACAACAAACAACCCTTGTGGATTTTTGTTCCCTGAAGATGTAAGGTCATTTTTTGAATATGTGTATACATTGATAGCACCCAGCAGCTGCTGCACCAAAGAATGACAGATTAAATGTATTTGGGGTGAAGGATCACATCTTTATATATGTTTTGTACCTTTTCTGGCAGTTTGAAGTGATTCCCATTAGCTTGCATTACAGAGACAGTGAGGAACAGTTTCTTACACATCTTCCCCAGGCAGCATGTATCTTCTAAATGTCTGTCACAAGCTCCTTCTTGTGTCATCAGGGGTCCTACCTAATTTAGTCCTTCCACTTTATTCATCATCCTTGTTGTGTTCCTGACACTTTCTGTTCTACCATGCCTTTTCTGAAGGGAGAGAAATGTATACAGCACTCAGGATACGCCATGGACCCATTATCAGTTATTTGAGTGGCAGCTGTCTGTGTTAATTAACACTAATTTCAAGCTCTCTTTTATCTTTAAAAACTCAAGTTCAGTTTCAGATTCCCTGTAAATCAATGACACATTTGGGGTTTTCAAACCCTTTCTACTTGCCTACCAACTTTGTTACACACTCCATGTGTAACTCCAAGAGTTAAAGCCTGGATCTGCAAATTTGGAATAAGATCTACAGAGATGAGATAATTAAGACACAATTTTTACTTCACACTTGCTAATTGGAGGCAAGGCAAAACTACACTTGGTGGTTTCAGCTGAGTGATCTGCTTTCTGCAGGATTTGTCCAGCAGCACAATGAGCTGGGGTGAGTGGCTAATGCAGTGGCAGAAAGGGGGACTTTTCTGGCTGGTTTATCAGGCAG